AAATAATTAATGCATGTACTGTATCATGGAATAATTAATGCATGTACTGTATCATGGAATAATTAATGCATGTACTGTATCATGGAATAATTAATGCATGTACTGTATCATGGATTAATTAATGCATGTACTGTATCATGGAATAATTAATGCATGTACTGTACCATGGAATAATTAATGCATGTACTGTATCATTTTGAACGCTTTGCTTCCATGTGTATATCGTAAATTTGTTCAACATTGCAGCAACTGACTATGAATGCAATGTCTGGGCTCAAGTTATTTGAGCCCAGACAATGAAAATAAAATGGCAACATTGCACAAACATTAATTAATACAAAACAGAACCATTTTATTCAACAGAATTGTCTTCACTAACAAATGCCACTGAATTGCGAGACCCACATGATTGCGCTTACCTCTTGTAAGTGTGCCACATGCATGGTCACAGGTAGATTTGTCACGGAATCTATTCTTATTTCCCTTGCAGCCACCAAACATGAATTGTTTACATTCACCATGTCCATCATCAGCATCTGGATCAAAATACCAACTAGGGAATTGTCCTTTACATGGTCCTACTTCATATGGTAGAGTGCATAACACTAAAATAAATACAGTTACAATGGTTATAATTCCTGTTCACAGTGTTAACAAATGACATTTTACCAACCATTTTTGTGTAATGGGTTCTTTTGGCCCTTTTTCTGAAAAAAACATTGTAAATAGCTTCTTACACATAAATTAAAACATCACCATCTTAATTGGTATACTTTAATTGATTTTTTCATGCATTTAATGTTTTATGCATATTCATGATAATTGTTAATAGTCACTGTGACTTTATTTGTAAGTCTTACAATGATAACTTCATTACTACAAAATTTCTCTTGAATTGTTAAAACATTCCCAAATAATAGGGCAATCTAGTTAAGCGCAGAAAATAATAGCCAGATTTGAAAAAAGCAGTAAACTCTGCACTTGTCACTTTTTTGATTCATACTGAAGTGGGTTGGCTACACTTATCTTACACATATGCACAGAACATGTACCATAACCAAACTTGGCCGAGATTGCAAACTAGGTAATATAATATCCAAGTTTGAAAGAAATTGAAAAAAAATGTTTCAGTTATTGTAACCACAAAAAAACATTTTATGATAACAACGAGGAAGAAAGACATTTTCCTTTTGTTTGTATACCTTGCCTTTTATCTAATACAGAAAAGGTAATGAAACAGATGACTACCTTCCTGGGGTGGGTCAGCATCTGATTGGAGACATTCACTAATACATCCATCTTCAGTGTCAAATCTGTTAGCATTTCCATCACATCCACCATACCAGAATCTTGTACATCTACCGTAGGCTTCCTCAAAATACCACTTAGTGACAAATGCTCTACAGTCCCCTCGGTCCAATGGTGAGGAACACGCATCTGAACACAAAAATAGTGAAATTTGAACAGCCAACAACTAATTGTGAAAGTCATAACACTCTCTGTCATAGGAAAGGAAACCAGAGAAATTGTCACTACTACAATAAAACTCACGATATGTCTGAAATTGAAGCGATTCATAATACCTTCTTCATCGCATCCTTCATTATTCGGACCCTTAGCAGCCTGCAAACCATCGGGACAACAACCATAGAGAGCTGACACACAATTCACTATTACATTACTCTCAGGGCAACCTGCCTTATCTGCTGCAAGTGCAAAGCTCACTCCATCATCACAGCATCCATATTCTGTTGCCTGGCAACCAGTGAGTATTTCTTGTCCACATCCTTCAAAGTCGGGACCACTGGCAGGTGTTTCTCCGTCTTCACAACATCCATGTACTGTATCCACACAATCTCTGTAAATTGACCAGGGAGTCAGATTTGTTACCGAAGGTACTTAATGTGAAACTGGTGTTTAAAAATCAGAAAATGTTTCAATTGTTTCCAAAAGATGGTTAAACACTTCATCCATGGTATATGGCATATATTTGAGGCATCCCTGCAAATGTTTCAATGTGCGAGTGAATTAAAACATACCCAAAAACAGGTTTTCCAGTCAATTGCAAGCGGCTGAATGCAATTACTTCAAATAAAAATCTAAAATCACATATCATTGAAAATGGAAATTTTCTTTTTACAATCCCTGCGTACCCACACTTTTCTAATGATAATTTTACCCCTCCACGTCTATTTCAAAGTTATATCACATGATTTAGTCTAAACTTAAAATTTAAATTAAATCTTAAAAATTAACTGCCTATATAAACAACTATTTTGACAAATCTATTTTTTGACTATTTTTCAAATCAATGCATCACAAGTAGTTATAACAGTTTTTTACATTTGTGTTGTCGTAGTATTTGTCAGAAAAATTATTATTAGAAGTTGGGTGGAGTCTTATTCTGTTTTGTTTTTTTATTTTAATAAAATAAACATAGTGCAACTATTACAACCTTGTCCATTGAGAATCTGGATTAAATAACAAAAAGGTAGATGGCAAAAATGGGCATAAATGTTCTAAAACAATGCAATAATATATCTAAACACTGGCTAAAATTTAGGTTAGAACAATTGATGATTTTCAAGTTTAAAAATTAAGTTGAAGAAGAAAGTTTATTCCATTTTCACCATAAGCAATTGCACGCAATGGGATCAGTATACTGGGTACTTCATTTTGTAATTTATTTAGTTATTTTTGTGTTATATTTCACTGTCAAATCAGTTTGAGATGTTTCTCAAAGCTTATAAACTGGGAAAGTCGCCTCAACATATTGTGGCACCAGAGTGTTTGTAAAATCTTTTTATTTTTCTCATTAACAGACAAACAGCACCCATCAATTATCTAATTGACAGATATGGAACAGAGACAAACACCAACCAGACACCTGTTTAAACTAAACAGTGTTTAGAAATTTCCTCAATCATATAGGCGATTGATTTAAACAGGTTTTCCAAAAATTTACATTTTGTTATTTATATATGTAAAATCTTTTATCTCATAGATATAAACAAGCTGACAGGACATTGTAATTACCTATATGACACCGGTGGACATCCATACTGGAATGGACCATCAGCAGCTGTTATCCCATTCAAACAACAACCAAACTCACTGTCTTCACAATCCAATTCTAAAGCTTCAACAGGATTGCCAATAAACACTGGAGAATTATCTAGAATGAGAGAAAAATTACAATGAGATGATGACAAAGCATGTAATTAATACAATTCTATGTTTTAGTGAGGAGAACATCACATGTCTGTGTTTTAGTTGAAGTGAAAAACGTACATGACTTCACAACTAAACAGTGCATGCATGTATTATTGTGATATACTTTTATTTCCGCATAAATTTTAGTTTTAATATTTCTGTAGACGGTCATTTTGTGCGAATGACATAAACACAACAAAACACACAAATCACTGATAAACAATTCATACATAAAATCAGAAGACCCAGGTCTCTGAAGTATCACGGTCCTACAGTGGTTGCCCTTTTCCTTTTATGCTTAAAATTTAATCCATCTATGATTCCTAAAAGTGTCAGTGTCATCTGGCACAAACTAGCATTGATCCAATCGTAATCCACCTTTGTTAGCAATACAAAGACACCTGTAAATTGTAAGTCTGCAAGAAGTTACTTCCTTGCAAAGTTGCAGATCTCTAGATGGGAGAGTCATAATTGCCTATAAGTGGCAACAAAGCAACAAAGACAAGTGTCAACACACGCAACATACATTGTGAAGATTTATTCCGATTAGCTGCACAACATTTATTTGCAGTTTTTACTACTCAATCTACAGTGATATCAAAAAAAGAAAACAAATTAAAAATGAAGTCACATTGGAAGGAAAACAACTGTAATTTGAGCCAGGCCATTGTGACATCACAACCAATGCATGCTGGGTGACAAGGAAGATTCTGAACAAGGTAACCAAGATGGCGGGGCAGAGAGCATGAATTGCATATGAACTTATTTTATTTGCCACTGAAAAATCAGGTCCTGATGATAACAACAGCAGACGTGAACGTCTATTGCATCATTATATTGTCAGAAGGTGATTGTAGTGTTATGAGATAGATCAATAAAAAAAAAACGCTGATATTAGATTTGAAATATCGTTGCACACAAAAGAAATTTGTTATCTTTACACCAAATGAACAAAGATAATGGTGACACTATTTTGCATGAAAATAAAATTCCACTAATTATTCCTAATTCATACGTGAAAAAGTATTTGACGGTTGTATGTTTTGTGTAATTCATCCCACAATGAATCAGTAATGAATTAGCTAGACACAATATATACCTTCATCACAGGGTTGTTCATTACATCGTTCTCTATCATGCGGTCTAGATACGAAGTCACACAATGCATCTACAACAATAGAGCCACTAGAGAAACACATTACTTGTCTACTCCTTCCACCAGTACCACATGGTTCAGTGCACTGAAAATATAACATATGACATAAGCAAAATTTCACCTATGGTATTCGCAAGATATCCACATAAGATTTTTCTTGCCTGAAAATTATCGAGCAGATCCGTTGATTATGTTGTGTTAGGAGTTTTCATTATCTTAGGGTATTGCTGTTCGAATACATTTTAAAATCAATATTTGATGTGAAGCATTTTCAATTATGATTAGTCTGAGATGCACATCTGGAGTTTTGAATATCCATTTTAAAAAATGATCATTTTTACTCATCTTACCTCTGTGTCCAAATGGACTTTGAACAGTTAAATATTTCCTAGGTTAGATGCATTTAACATGCACACTGAGCAGAATTTAAACAACAAAGACTGATAGGATTTATTTTAGTATAGACAAATAGTCGATAAACAGTACAATACATTCGCTTTCAGTATAACTTGCTAATGTCATTACTTTCAGATTTGAATATTGGTTGAGTTTTTCAAAACTGAATTGTTTTTTAACTAAGCTGTGCAAACAATGCAACTTAATAGCTATTCACATAATTGTGTTTATGTATTATTCTATTTCTCTAAAAATAATGTTTTTATAGATTATAATTTTTAACATTTTTGAATAGATTGTATGAAGCACCATCGATAACTTCAAAATGGAACCTTACATCCCTTGCAAAAAACACATTGCTTCACATGGCTCAGTCTGTCTGTGTGCTTGCTGGTTTAAATTCAAACTAACCCGTGTCCATGGTCCAGAGAACCACATTGTTTTACATGGCTCACTGTCACATGTCTGTGTGCTTGCTGGTTTAAATTCAAAATTACTCATGTCCATGGTCCAGAGAACCACATTGCTTCAGATGGCTCACTGTCACATATCTGTGTGCTTGCTGGTTTAGATTCAAACTTACCCGTGTCCATGGTCCAGAGAACCACATTGCTTCACATGGCTCACTGTCACATATCTGTGTGCTTGCTGGTTTAGATTCAAACTTACCCGTGTCCATGGTCCAGAGAACCACATTGCTTCACATGGCTCACTGTCACATGTCTGTGTGCTTGCTGGTTTAGATTCAAACTTACCTGTGTCCATGGTCCGGAGAACCACAATGCTTCACACGGCTCACTTTCATATGTCTGTGTGCTTGCTGGTTTAGATTCAAACTTACCCGTGTCCATGGTCCAGAGAACCACATTGCTTCACACGGCTCACTTTCACATGTCTGTGTGCTTGCTGGTTTTGTTGTAGCATCGCATTCATCAGCTGACTGTACCTCTAAATCAGAGTCCACCATTGAAGCACATACAACTGTTCGTGTTTGAATTCCCTCACCACATTCACTGGAACACTGATGAATAATAAGATGCTCAGTTCAGGCATTTCACAAATCATTATTATTCATTGAATGATGTCATATTCATTAAATTTGCTGCCAAGCAACATATATATGGTTAACTTACTTCACTCCAAGTTGAAGCATGCCAATCTGGTGGACAGGCACTTGTAGAAAAACATTCCTCTACTATTTTAGGCATTCTCTTCTCATTACAGAGTTCATCAGGAAAGATAATTCCAGTCTGACTAGCACAGTATACTTGTCGTGTTTTTAGACCACGACCACAGTCTTGAGAACACTATACAAAATTATAAAGAATATTTTATAATCAGTAAAACTCATGAAAATATAATTTGGGGTGCTAAAAGTGAATCATTATTATTTTTAATAATTCGTGAAAAGAGAAAAAATATATATCCGTTTTGCAACTGAAATAGAATAATGTCACTGAATACAAACAATGATGCTGGTCAACTATTTTTAATAATTTTCTGCTTTTTCTCATTTTATCTCCATACATCATTGATTTGGGTTTCAAAAATTGAAACACAAAATGGTAAATAGTAATGACAGACCTCACTAAAATGTGAAACCATCCACTCCACTCCCTCACAAGGACCAAGATTACAATCTTTTTTGACGTCTGGTTTCTCAAGTTCATCACAATGGTCATCGGGAACAACGCTATTTGAAGTGCAAGTCACATCTCTCCTCTGAATACCATCACCACATTGTGCAGAACACTATAGAAAACACAAAGTAATACCTAAATTATATTTTAAACAATAAATCTTGAAAATCATATAAATCATATATAAATCATATATATAAAATCAAGATTACAACATTATACTCTACAGGTAGATGCCCACATGTAGACAACCTTCAACCTGATTAAAATACTACAGCCAGATTTGACTACATTACATCTACACTTCATGATTCACATTGGCTACATGAAATCATATATTTTAAAGTACTGTTGATTGATTGATTAATTTTAATAATTCTGCTTATTTATAATAATACTTATTTCTATGACTTGTTGGTCGATGTGTACCAGGTCAAGGTGGCCATAGGTCAACACGGATTTTTCAATTGAAAATAGAAATACAAAATGTATTCTTAAATTCTTACCATTTTTATAAACTCAACTGATGACACGATTACTTACCCTAGACCAGCGTCCCACTTGCCATTGTGGACATTCAATATCTTCATTACAGTGCCTAGCATAAACTGGTTTGGGGCCTTCTCTTGAACGACAGAATGCTTCATCAACCACAGCCGGTACCGTACCTTGCAATATCTGTTCACAGTAAACCAGTCGTACTTGTGTCCCATGGCGTCCGCAAGAATGTGAACAGGGACTCCATTCACCAACAAACCACCTAAAAACATCATAGAGATATTGTAATCATGTATTCTGCCCTGTCCTGTTGACGACATTTGGCAAACAGCACACACTCCTCAAATGAAACTACCAATAGTTACAGTTACATAGCAATGTCAGTTGCCCTGTTACAGATCTAGCAGCCTCCACCTATCTGTACTACAATGACATGGGGGAAAAAAGGAATTCATCCAACATAAACCCAGATAACTTACTGGTCTCTTCAACATCACACAGAACCAACCTAAAACTGCATGTAAGGTGGTGTAGGAAGTTTGGGAGTTCAAAAATACAATCTTCCTGATGCATGGCAGAGCTAATATGTAGTGCACATAATATATAAGAAAAATTTGAATACTTACATAGCAGGACATGGCTGTGTGTTACATGTTTTATTATGGGTAGGTTTCAACTCTGCATCACACAAATAATCAGCAACTGTTTTGTAATCATGATTTCTGGCACATGTCACACCTCTCAGTTGGTACCCTATAAAAACATTCATATCAATTATAATTTCACTATATTAGATTGTGACAGCGTTTGTGGTAATATACAATAAAATATTTTATGAGATTTAAAATAGGATGTAGGCTTAGGTAATCCACACAAAACATTTATTTTCAAATTTTTTTTTACTAAAAATGCCCTAAAAAGTCCCAGAAGGTCACCATCAATGGGTGTTTCCATTAACATAATAAAACACTGGACTACTATATACTCATAATAACAATGTTAAACAGTACAGTTCAGGTGTCACTTAACTTCTAAGCTGACTGTCAGTTAACTTTGCCTTTTTATAAAAAACTCATGTAAAATTTAACATAACACTCACCAGCACCACACTTTTGGGAACATTCACCAAAATTATCGAACACCCAGGAATATATGTCAGGATCCGGACTATTCACTCCATGAGGGATAGAATACTCATATTTCACACCGGAATTAATTCCTTGGGATAGAAGCTATACAAATTAAAATGGCATGAATCATAATGTAATAAACGAGTAAAGAAATACTATTCTTCTTATTGTTATTACTTATAACAAACATACTGAGGAAATGTCATCATTATCCATGTATATACATAACACATGTTTTGTGATTGACAGATGAAGTGTTAATATATGTGTGCAGTCAAATGGGTTTTAATGAATTGCTGGACAGTGTTAACCACCTCGTTAATAGATGGTTGAATTGAGAGACTATGGTGGACGGCGTTAATGCATTAGAACAAAAATCATAATCTTTACCATATTTGCTAGTCAAAAATTGTGTACACGTGAAGGAATATGCTACAAAATATCCTGTATATCCAATACTTAAATATTATTCAAAGGTTTAACATACAACAATAAAGATTGGTTCAGTTGTAGGCCCCAGTGCACGGATCACTTCTGGGGCTGGGTATGCATTTGTTTTTCTCTCATAGTAAAGTAGCGTTCCTGCGGCATTGATTACGGTTGGTGGACTGATCCTCCAATCACCATTCAGATAGTAGTGTTCACTTCCATTTCTAATAGCTAAAAACAAAATAAAAGATAATTATTATCAATAGAGGACGCCATTTAAAGAGATGAACAAACTGTAAAACATGTTGGAAAAGCAACATACAATTTTAGCGAATTGTAGTAAAATGACGTAATAGCGAAATGTTGATTTAGCGAATCTCTCTTGTCATTGTTGATTTCTTTGTTTGGTGGCCATTTTGAATTTATAATAAAGTCATTAGCAACATCTTGCTAAATTCGTGAAAAAGACATGTTTTACAGTAGTTTGTTATGAGTCTATGCTAAGTTGTTATGAGACTCTAGAAGAACAGAGACTTTTTCAATGTCTCTCTTACAAATTGAATGTCAGATGTTGAATTGCATCATGTGAATTAACAACTTGAATAAACAACTGTGCATTCCAAAAAGATGGTGAGAAACATTGTGACAATTAATACATGATCTTTAGACCCTATGTCATGCAGGTAGACGCAGAATTGAAACATGCTTACCCAAAAAGTCATCTGATGCTGTCAGCTCCTCTATCAAAATGTTGGTTGCACCAGCTGGGATCAAGATCATATCATTATATCCTAAAATAGGCATAGATGTAACAATTTAAGTCGTAATTGTTATCAAAATTACATTTACACAAACCATCTGAGACTTTTTTCAGAATTCTATGAAGCCTAGGCAAATCTCATATATATACGATGTCATTTAAAATTTTGAATAATGTAGCAAAAAATCGTGTTTAGAGAAAATAAAAATCTTGATTGCAATTGCGATGCCAATGAGATGAGATTATCCACTAATGATGATATGAATAACACTGACAGTTCTTACCGACAGGAATCCCTTGGAGATCAAAAACACCTTCCACTGTTTTACAACTACTACCATCTCCACCACATTCTCTGCATTTATCTTCCCGTGCATTGGAGCCCAACATAAAATCACATCCAACATTCTGTGCAAACAAAAAGTCACATTTAGGGTATATACAGCCAACTGTACAATATAATATTTTACCATAAATTTTAACTAGAGAATTTCTTTATTTCGAGTCTAACATACTAGTACTATATAGTTTCTTCATTTTAGAGAATATTCTATAATGACTATAAAACGATTTCCTGGCCAAGACCACTTGCAAGCACTTTTTATAACAGAAATTCAACTCGAGAGAACCAATACTAATAGAGCTGACCATTCACCTCTATATAAACTATACTGTAAAAATACTATCCTCAGTATATTAAAGCTAGAATTAAATTTTGCTAAAATAACATTTTGTAAGAAGTTTATTTTCTCTGATTTGAATGAAAACAAGACATGACATGTCATGTCATGTCATAGCCCCCGCTCAGAAAAAAATTTAAAAACTGATATTGAACTTAGTTTGTGTCAGAGTGAATTAATTCATTATGAGCTGTATTAAAATTCTGTTCAGAATTGATGTGTTACAATTTTAGGGGGTGGGGTAAAAATATATTCATTTGGCTTTTCTGAGACAATTTATAACTTGTTAAACATATAATGCGATGTGCACTTGTAAACAATTATTACCTGTCCCTGTACCAACTTTGAACAAAACTGGATGA